TTAAAGTCAATAAAAGCTCTCTTTTGTAAGCCCTTCTCAGGTCGCAGCGCATTATCGGCCAAGTCTGGCACGAAAATCACTTCATGCTCAAATACTTCACAAGGGCACAGAACAAGGGAACATATGCTGAGAGCTTCCTGACTCCACTGGAGAGGCTTAATGCTGTGTGAATTTACTCAGCTTGCAAGGAGGCAGAGGCATTTGTCTGAAAAAAGCCAGCGGCCACACAGTCAAGACAAAAACACACTCCGGACGATGCACAGCTCAAATCATTCACAGGACTCCTGCAGCAGCTGCACTCCGGGAATTCTCCTCGAGGTCTTCCTGGGGGTTCAGGAAATAATCTTTTTCAGCAACTTGTCTTTTCGGTATAAATATAGAGTTAAATTAACACTGCTTTTTTCCTGAGGTGACTTTTTGCCAATGGAGGGAAAAAAAATGGAGGAAGTGCAACCTCTCCACTGCGGACAGACGCAGGCTCCTGCTGCTAGGTGCCAGGCCTGGCCCCAGCACACCCCTTGTGAAGGTGGAAACACTGGCGGCTGGCAGTGACAGGGAGGCCTGCTGCGCCCCAGAAAGGCTACCTTGTGGGGAGATAAGGTCCCCTGTGGTCAGCCTGTCCCCATCATTACATCCCCATGATAATGCAGAGGGAGGGTGTGGGGAAGAGGAGCCAGCACTGCCCTGAGGAGACACACCCACTCTTTCAAGTCCAACACCGGAGTCTCCCACTGCCTCACTCCACTTGTTCTGGGAGTATACAAAACAAACACACACAACAAAACCATGATCCGAATGATACCCCTGTAGATCGATGGAAGCTTTGGACCACTGTTCTGTGATCTCCTGGGAAAAGAATTTCATGGTGTATTCACTGAATTTAACATTTTTAAACTTAAAGGTTTTCTTCTAATCTGCCGTGACTGAACTTTGCATGGGTTTAATTGTGGGTGAATGACTATATCTAGATATGTCGAATGAGCAAATCTAATCTAAAATATTCAGTACAATCAGGTGTTTAGTAAATGTGTTTCACAGCTGTGTTTTCCCATGATGCTTTGATGATCCAAATTTGATACGAAGACAGTTGAAAACACAAATATATCAATTTCAGTACCTGTAAGCTACACGAGTTGGTATGGCTGGGAGCTTGGGCTGACCACAGGGAACATTCAGGCATCAGATTCTTTTTCCTAAGTGACTGCCACATTCCATTTTCCTTTTCACTCCCTGGAAGTATCTGATTTCACTGGGTCAGAGACCATGGGAAATCGAAATCATACTGGTACTGTTTCCCGGCAATGAGGTTACCTAGATCATAAAAGCATGCTTCACTGTTGCAGTATGGGATTGCATTTTCCTTTTAAAAAAAATTAGATTTAACTTTATTTATTCATTCATTTTTAATTTGACTAGAGAGATACGAAGAGAGAGAGAGAGAAGGTGAGAGAACAAGCCATCAGGTCCAGGACTCGAACCATGGTCAGCCATGTGGGAGCACTGAGTGCCTTAACCACCACGCCACCTGCTGGTCCCTCACATTTTCCTTTTGTCATTTTTAATATTTTAGTGAGATGAGAAGCAGAGAGAGAGAGACAGCTGCCCCAGTAGGGTCTCGATGCTGCTGTTGCTGTCCACCCCTGGCCTTGGTCAGGGCCGACCACAGGCCTGAGAATCTGCATTTCTAACACATTTCCAGGTACTGGCGGTGTTGCTGGTCCAGGAACTGCATTTTGAGAACCACTGCCATAGACGTAAGAAGTTTTTATTGAATTGAATTTACTAAAATGGCCACAAACTGAGACATTCCAACTACAAAAGCAGTTAAGTCTACAGTTGACTTAAAAAAAATATTTATTCATTCATTTATTTTAATATGACCAGAGAGAGACACACACCAATAGAGAAAGAGAGAGAGAGAGAAAGTGAGAAAGCAAGCCACCAGGTCTGGGACTCGAACCATGTCGGTCATGTGGGAGTGTCCAGTGCCTTAACCACTATGCCACCAACTGGTCACCCCAGTTGATTTTTTAAAAAAGATTTCATTTAACTTTTTAAAATTTGACCAGAGAGGGACAGGGTGAGAGAGAGACAGAGAGAGAAAGCAAGAAAGCAAGCCACCAGGTCAGCCATGTGGGAGTCCAGCGCCCTTAACCACGACGCCACCTGTTGGCCCCCAAGTCCTACTCTTAAGCAGGGGGTATTGTTGCTTGTTTCAACTTTTGGGGGTTTGGAGTTTATTGTGACAGCTAAGTTTTATCTCACTTTTTGGATATGCCACAATCTATTCATCCACTCACTTGCGGACGGCCATTGGGTTGTTTTCCTTTTGGGCTAGTCTAAATAAAGTTGCTATAAATATCTGTGTGGGAACATGCTGATTCCCCCCCCCCATTTTTGCTATAGGGTGTGTGCCAGGGAGAGAGTGTGTGAGCACCAGAATGGCCGTGCCACAATTCTCTTTCATTCTTGTCTTGGGATTTGGCGCACATGTACATGCGTGCCTGGTATGTCTCTCAAGCCGCTGGCAGGGTCTGGGACTTGACCTGTAAGACACCTAGTAGGGGAATGGCTGGATTATGTGTGGGTATAACTTTTTTTTTTTTGGCCAGAGGGAGAAGGCTCCCCCTCCCCCGCCCCGCCATGAGTCAGTCACCATCCCTTCTCCTTTTCTCCATCCTGCTGGGATTTCTGGCACGATGCACATGTGCTCGGCGTGTTTTGCAGGCTGCTGGGGCTCAGTCTCTGCATTGCTGTCCTCTGCCTGGAATGACTGGCTTCTGGAGATGCATGGCGTACTCCCTCTACCCTGCCCCAGAGGACTACCCCTTGACTACCCTTTATAAAATGGCCCAGCTTGTCACTTGTCTCTTACCTTGCTTTTTGTTCACTGCACTTCATTTCTCAAAATATTACATATTGTTTACTATCTGCTCCCACCTAATTACAATGTAAGATCCTTCCAGGCAGGGCTCTTGTTCAGAGCCTGTGTATTCCCAGAGCCTGGAATGAGTCTGGGATATGGCATATACCCAGTGAGTATGTATTACATGAATAAATGAACTCTGAACAGAAATACCTGATTTTCCACTATCATTTTTTTTAAAGAATTATTTTATTTAACTTTATTCATTTATTTTTAATTTCACCAGAGAGGGACAGAGTGAGAGAAAGTGAGAAAGCAGGCCACCAGGTCCAGGACTTGAACCGAGGTCGGCCATATGTGAGTCCAGCACGCTTAGCCACCACGCCACCTTAACCAGGTATAATCTTTACCATCATTGCCATCCTAATATGTGAGAAATAGTATCTCATTCTCTCTCTCTTTTTTTTTTTTTTTTTTTTGCCATATGACAAAAAAAACATACAGTAGCTGGAGAGAGACAGAAACAGGGAGAGTGAGGAATCACCCCCCGGGGGATGGCCATGCTACGATCCCTTCTCCTCCATTCTTCTCCAGGATTCAGGCACGCACATGTGCCTGGCACGATTTGCAAGCTACCAGGTCCAGGACTCAAACCGCAGTTGGCCATGTGAGAAACCAGCATCTTAAACTTCATGCCACTTGCTGGCCCCTTGTCATTATTTTAATTTGTATTTCTTGAATATAAATGAGAATGAAGATCCTATCATATTGTTTGGCTTGGCCTTGTATTTCTTTTTTCAGAAAATGATCTTTTCATATCCCTTGTTCAGCTTGTCTTTCTGTGGAGCTATTAATATATTTAAAAAATTGGGACCAGCAGTTGACATAATAGCTATGTTGGTGGACTCCTATACTGCAGTTCAAGTCTTGGACCCAGTAGCTTAAAACTCACATTGGGGGACCAGCAGTTAGCATAATGCCTATGTTGCTGGACTCCCATGTAGTTGACCGTGGTTCGAGTCCTGGACAAGGTGGCTTAAAATCATGCCAGGTGCGTGTGAGTGCGTGCCCAAGACACCAAGAGGAGAATGGAGAAGGGATTGTGGTGTGGCCATCCCCCCCTGGGGGGTGATTTCTCACTTTCTGTCTCTCTGTCTTTCTGGCGAGCACACGTGCCCTATAGTAAAACCCTCTCCCCCCCCAAATATATATATTAAAAAGTATCCATTTGTCTATAGTGTGCTACAAAGATGTTCTTCCAGCTTGTTTCCTGCCTGACTCGCAGTCACACCATCAATCTGTCCTCCTGGTTGAGGCAGGCTTGCCCACTGCAAGGCCAGGGCATTCGTGCTTGTTTTCTCCTAAACTTTTATATGTGTATAGATGGACGATTATGACATTCTGATCTTCAATTTATCTGAGATGTATTGCTAGTTTGGAGTGTAAAAAGTAAGGAAGTGGAGCCAACAGGAGGTGTGGTGGTTAAGGTGCTGGACTCCCACATGGCTGGTTTGGGTCCTGGACCTGGTAGCTTGTTTTCTCACTTTCCCGTTCTTTCTGGTCAAATGAAAAAATAATAATAATGATAGGGGCCAGCAGGGGGTGTGGTGGTTAAGGGTGCTGGACTCCCACATGGCCAACCACAGGTTGAGTCCCGGACCTGGCGGCTTGCTTTCTCACTTTCTCTCTCTCTCACTCTGTCCCTCTCTGGCCAAAAAATTCAATAAATAAATAAAGTTGCAATTAAACACACAAACTAATAATAATAATAATAATAATAATAAATAAAGTTAAATAATTCTTAAATAAAGATTTCAAAAACAGGGAAATAATCTATTTTAACTTTAAAATAAAAAATAATACACATTTCTATATACCATTGATATAATTTATTTTGGTTTATTTTTGTCAAAGAACATTCATAATTAAAAAAATAAATTCAAGTGAAGTTTACTTGCTTTATAATATACTTCTTTTTTTTTTTTTTTTTTTAAGAAATACTCTTGCTATTGGGTCACTCACCTGAGAGACAGAAAGAGAAAGACAGAGAGAAATCACCCCCCACTGGGGTGGGGGTGGCCATGCCGCAACCCCTTTTCCCCTGGTCTCCTCTTGGGATCTTGGGCACGCACGCGCACGCGCCCAGCATGAATTCTAAGTTGCTGGGTCCGGGACTCTCACCGCAGCCGACTACCCATTACGTCATCTGCTGGTCCCAAAATACACATTTTTACAAGCACACTTGATGCATATGTATATCAAATTACACTTTTCACAATTCTCCATGTGACTCGAAATTACCGTCACTGTTACTATTCCAGAAACATTGCTATGTCTTTATTTTTTTCAACATTTCACTTTCTGGATCTTGATTTCTTTTTTGTTTTACTGTATTTTTTTTTAAAAAGTTTCTTTTCAATTAAGCTCACTTCTTCATGGAGAATGGAGGTCTTTATTCTTAGCAGGAAGGAGAAGAGATTTAGTATGAACCGGTAACTCAGAGAAAAATTTGATTCTTCATAGGTTGTCACATGTTTACAATAGCTAGAAGAAAAAAAGGAGTAAGTTAGCTTGAAATAGTAACTTAGAAACAGCACCTATCCCGTGACATTCCCCTAGTAACTCAGCAAATACAGGTGGGCTTACAAGAGCACTCTGACCCGCAGGATGCAGAACGATTCGGCAGTACTCTAATTTTACAAAGGGAAAATACCAGATGTGGAGCTGACCCTGCACTAGGGTCTGGGCCTGTCCCTGCTGCTAAGAGCCACACTTCACTCACTACAGACGCATCAACACTTTTTTTTTTGGGGGGGGGTTATACAGGGCACATGTACCTGCAAGAGAGAGATAGAGAGAGGGAGAGAGAGAGAGGAAGAGGTCCACACTGCAATCCCTTCTCCTCTCGGGATTCTGGGCACATACACTCACCCATATACTTTTCAAGCCACGGATACAAGACTTGAACCATGAGGGACCAGCAGTTAGCGTAATGGTTATGTCACTGGACTCCCACGTAGTCGACTGCGGTTTACGTCCCGGACCCGGCGGCTTAAACTCATGCCGGGTGCGTGTGCGTGCGTGCCCAAGATCCTGACAGGAGAGTGGAGGAGAAGGGGTTGCGGCATGGCCATCCCCCCTGGGGGGTGATTTCTCGCTTTCTGTCTCTCTGTCTCTCTCTGTCTGGTGAGCGCACATGCCCTATAGCAAAAACCTCTCCAAAAATAAAAGACTTGAACCACAAAGTTGCCCACGTGGGATCCAGCCATCTTAATCACCATGCCACTGACTGGACCAAGTTTTTGTTTTCATTTTTTGCTATAGGGTGCATGTAACTCACTGGATAGAGACAGAGAGGGAAGGAAAGTAAGAAATCACTCCCCTCCCTAGGAGTATGGCCATGGCATAATTCTTTCTCCTCCATTCTCCTCTTAGGGTTGTGAGCACACACACACATGCACCAGTCTGATTTTTAAGCTGCTGAATCCAGGACTTGAACCACACAGTTGGCCACGTGGGATCTCATCACTTTAACCTCCACACTACCTGCTGGCCCCTATCTCAACGTTTTTAAACAGTAATTTAAAAAATATATATGTTAATTTATTTTTAAAGAATCACTTAATTTTATTTATTTATTATTATTACCATTATTATTATTTAAGTTCACCAGAGAGAAATGGAATGAGAGTGAGAGAAAGTGAGAAAGCAAGCTGCCAGGTCCAGGACTTGAACCACAGTCGGCCATGTAGAGGAGTCCAGTGCCTTAACCACCACACCACCTGCTGGCCACTTAAACAGCAATTTTTTTTTTTTGGAGAGATTTTCACTGTAGGGCGCGTGCGCTCGCCAGACAGACAGAGAGAGACATAGAGACAGAAAGCGAGAAATCACCCCCCAGGGGGGATGGAAAAAGCAATCCCTTCTCCTCCATTCTCCTCTCGGGATCTTGGGCACGCACGCACACGCACCCGGCGTGAGTTTTAAGCCACCGGGTCCGGGACACGAACCGCGGTCGACTACGTGGGAGTCCAGTGACATAGCCATTACGCTAACTGCTGGTTCCCTTAAACAGCAATTTTAATACAGATGACTTTGTGTAATGCCTCTTCTACTGTGTTTTCTACATTTCATTAATCTTCGACTGTACTCAACTCAGGAAGTGAAACTTTTTCATAGAAAAATAGTTGTGCTGGGACAAACAGATGGCGTAAGGGTAACATCACTGGATTCCCACGTAGTAGACCACAGTTCGAGTCCCAGATTGGGGGACTTAAACTCACGCTAGGCATGTGTGCATGCATGTCCAAGATCCTGAGAGGAGAATGGAGAACAGATTACGGCGTGGCCATCCCCTGGGGTGGGGGTGATTTCTTGCTTTCCATCTCTCTGTCATTCTCTGTCCTTCTGGTGAGCGCACGCGCCCTATAGCAAGAATCTCTCTCAACAAATAAGAAAATGAAAAGAAAAAAGGGAGGTCAGCAGATGGCATGATGGTTAAGGCAGCTGAATCCCACATGGCCGAATGCGTGGCCCAAGTCCCACACCGGCTGGCTTGAAAATCGTGCTGGCCACGTGTGCATGAGTGCCCAGAATCCCAATAGGAAAACGGAAGAGATGGGTTGTGGTGTGGCCATCCCTCTCAGGGTGTGTGTGTGGGTGCTTTTTTATTCTTCTCTCTGTCTCTCTCTGGTGAGTGCACCATGCCTTATAGCAAAAATAAATAAATAAATAAATAAATAAATGACATTAATGAATTTTGTCTATGAACAAAATAGGAACCACGAGTCCATACTAAAAATAAATCATCGGTGAGTTAAAAATGGGAGGAGGGGAGGCAGGGCTCTCCCACATGGTGACGCCAGCTGACACTGAGGGGCGTGGAGCTGGAGAGTCACCACAGTCACGACCACCAAGACTGGTCTGAGTAAGAACCATCAGCGGATACAACCGCGGGAAAGATACTTTTGTTAAGTATTAATTAATATTTACATAAGAGAGAGAGAAAGAGAAGACACCTTTGACAGGGTCGCCACCCCTCAACTGTCGCCTAGTCCTGCAGCCTGAGAGGATCACACCCTGCTGTGTTCAGACAGACCTGGGATGTGAACCCAGAGCCTCCTATGTCCTCCAGCATCACCCAGCAGCACCCCTACTGCCTGTGCCACTGTGGCTGGGTCAAGAGGCCGAGTGGAGGAAGTTTTTTCTCTTTAATGAGGGCGAGAGTGGGGCTGGGGAGAGCAACACACATGAGGGAGACAGAAAGAAAGGTACCTGGACAGGTCCGGCCCGCCCTCCCACCCGGCTCCCCACTAGGAGCAAAGGGATGTGCCACCAGCCCAGCCTCTTTAGGGTGGCCGGGAACCAAACCCAAGTCTCCCACGTGGCCTGAGCCACCGTGTAGCAGCACTCTCCTGCTCGCACCACCACAGCTGGGCCATGAGGGTAGGGAACTGGCAAACAGCTGTCTACCGGTCAAGTATCTCCCCCAGATCTCTTCTTTTTTCTTTTCTTTTTTTTTTTTTAGGAGGTTTTTGCCTCAGAGAGAGAGAGAAGAGAGAGTGGGAGAGAGAAACAGACACAGTGAGAAGGAAAGTGAGAAATCACCCCCACTCTTTCTGGGATCTTGGGCACACACGTACACAGGCCCGGCATGAGTTTTTTTTTTTTTGAGAGGTTTTTGCTATAGGGTGTGTGCGCTCACCAGAAAGACAGAGGGAGACAGAAAGCGAGAAATCACCCCCCAGGGGTATGGCCACGCCACAATCCCTTCTCCTCCATTCTCCTCTCGGGATCTTGGGCATGCACACACATGCACCCAGCGTGAGTTTAATTAAGCCACTAGGTTAAATCCAGTGGTTAAGGCATTGGACTCCCACATGGCCAACTGAGGTTCAAGTCCTGAACCTAGGGGCTTAAAAATCATGCCAGGCACATGTGTGCCCAAAATCCCAGGAGGAGAAGGAACTGAGGCATGGCCATACCTCTCAGGGGGTGAGTTCTCACTCTCCTCAGTGAGTGCACGTGTCTATGACAATAATAACATATACATATTGATCAGGCCCCGCCCCACACTTCCCTTGGCTGCTTCTCTGCAGGGAAGTCTCACTGCAAGGGACAGTTTGTGTTAGCTGTGCTCCCTCATCTTTCATGATTTTTCACCAGCTTTCCTCTAACTCAAGATTCAAAGAGTAATTCTGATTTTCTTGACTATAAGTTTCCCATCTTCCAACAAATAACCTATCTAGCTCTTAGATGCGACTTTTTTTTTTTAAATTGAAAAAGAATGTATCTTCAGGTCAAACTGGAGATTTTGTCACATTTCATATCTTCTGATTTCTAAAAGCATTACGTACCTTTTACAGAACTTCTGTGTACTAAGCCAATATAATGAATTCTTGGTAAGCAGTGATTGGCCTTTCTTTTTCAGGACTCCCTGGAGACTGTGTCCATGGAAACAAGTTCTAGCAGTATCTTCTTCAGTCCAATTGAACTGAAAACTTGAAGGGTTGTTTTTTTCAACAGTCGGCGTTGAATCAGCCAATGTACTGAATTGTTTTTGTAGATTCACCACCATTTCTGAAAATGGAGGAAAAAAGAAAGGAATAAAATAAAAACCGAATATTAAATAACAAAGTCTGGTGTTTACTTGACAGGAATGTACCAGTGTTGGTTAGACCATAGTGCCACGGTAATGTAAGAGGATAACTTTAGTTGTAACTGAAAAAAAAAAACCAAACCAAAAGGTCCTAGGGGGACTACTAAAATATGATCAAAACAGGGCTGGCCACGTAGTCTGGTGGTTAAAGGAGCCCGACCCCCTGCTGCTGACAGCGGTGCAAGTCCTGGCCCCAACAACTGGAAAAACATGCCAGGTATGTGTGTATGCGTGCCCGACTCCAACAGGATAGAGAAACAAAGGAGAAGGGGTTGCAGATGGGTGCTCCCCCCTGGAGAGGGCTTAGCCACCTCCCCCCTCCAATCTCTCTGGCAAGCACATGTGACTTCTGGCAATAAAACTGAAATACAAAAATAAAAACGTACACTCTAAAGGTGATTCTCCTGACAAAGAGTTCTAAGAACCGCAGAAAGACATGAACTTAGATGCCGAGGGAAACTCAGCTCGGGCTTTGGGTAACGGCATGCGAGTTCTGAGACAGGTGCCTGGCAATCCCATGCAGCCATCGTGCCCCTCGGGGTGTGTATGTGCGTCTGAGGGACACAGCATGTATGCACTCGCTTCCCAAGTTGAGATATTTAGCTTTTCTACTACTGTGCTGCTAGTTGGCGTGAAGAAAAACCTCAACTCACCTCTTCTCTTGTACACCACTGACTTGTCGATGGACGAATGGTAGAGCGGCTTCTCACTTTTCCACAGGTACCTGGCACAGGAAGAACAAGAGCTGGAGCAGGGGCCCAGGGCGGGCCTAACACAGGTCGGAGACAGTTTCTGATGTGGTATCTGAGACTCTGGAGTATCAGCTCTGGCTCAAAATGGCCTGTGGGCACGTCTACACCATCTACAGAGCTTTCCTCCTAGAAGCTGGTGCTGGATAAGAGCAGGCCAATAGGACAGGTGCTCTGCCCTGGGGCGCCAGACCCGTAGGATCCTGAAGAAGCTACTAACGATATAAAGCAGTGGAGATGGTTCTCCTCACCACACAATTCCCTGTGCTCATTCTCACACAGTGAAGTCACCTAAGAAGCAATTGTTCCTCCAGGCCCTTGGCCCTGCGGCCACTTCTCGAGGATTAAATGACTGGTGCCTCTGGGTCTGAAGACCCACACAGGGCACACGGCAGGTGCCAGCCTCTCTGGCACTCGGCGCCTGGAATCTCCTATTCCTGGTGGTCACTACCTCACTAGGAGGAAAGAGCGGAACCCAGCACAACACAGTCTTACCAGTTTTTGCACCGACTCAACCTATTCTTGCCTGGGGAAGGTCAGCCAGGGAAACAGCCACTGTTACTCCAGATCAAAGATAATGTTATCTTTAGACTCTTGGGCTCATTATTTTTGAGTTCCCTAAAGCAAAGAACTTTCACAACTTACAGTGAAAAACAATCTACCTTGTTTGCCAGTCTAAGCGGCACTGTGGCAATGGGGAAGAGTACTGACTCGGGGACCTGGTCTGCCACTCCCTGGTGGCCGGCCTGGCCTCGCGGGAACAGTGATGGGGTTCTTGACAGCAGAATCTGTCTCGGCCTTCCTGGTGACTGAATGCTGGCAGGGATTATTGCTTAGTAGGGATTCGAATTTATTGAAAAATGAACGGATGAATACATGAACAAATACATTCAGTGCTTTCTGCTTTTGCAGGACTGCTGTGAGGAAAAATTAAGATTATGTATATGTTCTTTAAATTCTATACAATTAGAAGTAATAATTATCTGGTGCTTGACAAAATTCCTGTCTACTGGACTTTCAAGAAATATCTGTGGGGGCTGGCAGGTGGCATGTGGTTGAGGTGCTAGACTCCCACATGGCTGACCACAGTTCAAGTCCCCAACCTGGCAGCTTACTTTCCCTCTCTCTGTCTCTCTCTCGCTATCTCTCTGGTCAAGTTAAAATAATAATAATGATGATGAATAAAATTTAATAAAATAGCTAATAAAAAAAGAAATGCCTGTGGACTTCTAGAAAAGAAGATAAAGGACAGAAAGTAAAAAATACAAGTATTTTTATTTCTTTATGGTTTTCTATAATTGATCACGTATTTTTCTTTTTCTTTTAAATGCTGGGATAGAAAATGTACATGAAAGACATTTTAGTAATATTATGACAACAACGATCATCCAAGATGATGCTCACTATTAAGCTTCCTTGTGAATACGTAAGCTAGGTGGCTGTCTCCGGGCATTTACAATAAATGCCTATTTCAGGTGGCGGTCATGCTGTATCAAGGGGGCATTATTATTGCCTTAGTGTTATCTGCCCAGAGAACGGGAAAGGTGACAGCAAATGACAGTGCTATAGCTGTGTAGACACCCCTTCTGAAACTAAAGCTTCTACAAAAGTTCACTTACTTTCCTACATCTTCCAATTACACACAGCTACAAGAACAGAGACATGCCACGAAGCCTTGTTTGTTTGCTTTTTTACATAAATTAACCCATTTATTGTAGGCTAGTGATATTCCAAATGTCTATGGAGCTTCTACTGGTCTTTCAACTCCTTCAGTCTTCTGATGGCAGACTGCACTGTGACAGCCGAAGTGCTGGTGTAGGTCCAGGCACCACTGGCTACCGTGTGCATGCAGGAACCACAGTGCCAGATCCCCACAGCCCGTCTCTTCATCTTAGTTTTGCCACAGAAGGAGCAGGTGTACTTAGCGTGCTGGCTGATTTCAATTTTCTTCACCATTTTCCGGAGGGAGGCACCATAGCGGGTCCCATATCTATCGACGATGCCGAACTTCTTGGTGCACCCACACAGGGCACACGGCAGGTGCCAGCCTCTCTGGCACTCGGCGCCTGGAATCTCCTATTCCTGGTGGTCACTACCTCACTAGGAGGAAAGAGCGGAACCCAGCACAACACAGTCTTACCAGTTTTTGCACCGACTCAACCTATTCTTGCCTGGGGAAGGTCAGCCAGGGAAACAGCCACTGTTACTCCAGATCAAAGATAATGTTATCTTTAGACTCTTGGGCTCATTATTTTTGAGTTCCCTAAAGCAAAGAACTTTCACAACTTACAGTGAAAAACAATCTACCTTTTTTGCCAGTCTAAGCGGCACTGTGGCAATGGGGAAGAGTACTGACTCGGGGACCTGGTCTGCCACTCCCTGGTGGCCGGCCTGGCCTCGCGGGAACAGTGATGGGGTTCTTGACAGCAGAATCTGTCTCGGCCTTCCTGGTGACTGAATGCTGGCAGGGATTATTGCTTAGTAGGGATTCGAATTTATTGAAAAATGAACGGATGAATACATGAACAAATACATTCAGTGCTTTCTGCTTTTGCAGGACTGCTGTGAGGAAAAATTAAGATTATGTATATGTTCTTTAAATTCTATACAATTAGAAGTAATAATTATCTGGTGCTTGACAAAATTCCTGTCTACTGGACTTTCAAGAAATATCTGTGGGGGCTGGCAGGTGGCATGTGGTTGAGGTGCTAGACTCCCACATGGCTGACCACAGTTCAAGTCCCCAACCTGGCAGCTTACTTTCCCTCTCTCTGTCTCTCTCTCGCTATCTCTCTGGTCAAGTTAAAATAATAATAATGATGATGAATAAAATTTAATAAAATAGCTAATAAAAAAAGAAATGCCTGTGGACTTCTAGAAAAGAAGATAAAGGACAGAAAGTAAAAAATACAAGTATTTTTATTTCTTTATGGTTTTCTATAATTGATCACGTATTTTTCTTTTTCTTTTAAATGCTGGGATAGAAAATGTACATGAAAGACATTTTAGTAATATTATGACAACAATGATCATCCAAGATGATGCTCACTATTAAGCTTCCTTGTGAATACGTAAGCTAGGTGGCTGTCTCCGGGCATTTACAATAAATGCCTATTTCAGGTGGCGGTCATGCTGTATCAAGGGGGCATTATTATTGCCTTAGTGTTATCTGCCCAGAGAACGGGAAAGGTGACAGCAAATGACAGTGCTATAGCTGTGTAGACACCCCTTCTGAAACTAAAGCTTCTACAAAAGTTCACTTACTTTCCTACATCTTCCAATTACACACAGCTACAAGAACAGAGACATGCCACGAAGCCTTGTTTGTTTGCTTTTTTACATAAATTAACCCATTTATTGTAGGCTAGTGATATTCCAAATGTCTATGGAGCTTCTACTGGTCTTTCCAATCCTTCAGTCTTCTGATGGCAGACTGCACTGTGACAGCCGAAGTGCTGGTGTAGGTCCAGGCACCACCGGCTAACGGGTGGGTGCCGGAACCCCCACGGCAGCAGGAACCACAGTGCCAGATCCCCACAGCCCGTCTCTTCATCTTAGTTTTGCCACAGAAGGAGCAGGTGTACTTAGCGTGCTGGCTGATTTCAATTTTCTTCACCATTTTCCGGAGGGAGGCACCATAGCGGGTCCCATATCTATCGACGATGCCGAACTTCTTGGTGCGTTTAGCCATACCGCTGCCAACTATTCCGAGCCCACGAAGCCTTGTTTTTTAGCTAGAAGTTAGCTGTGTGCTTCCTCCCAGTCTCTACAGATCAAATTTCACTATCTTAGAAAAAAAAGGCATTGGGGCCAGCAGGTAGTGCTGGCTGGGGGTGCTGGACTCCCACACGGCTGCCTGCAATTCAAGTCCTGAACCTGGCGGCTTGCTTTCTTGCTTTCCCTCTCCCTTTCTCTCTCTCTCTCTGCCCCCCTCACTCTGTTCCTCTCTGGTCAAATTTAAATGAACAAATGAATAAATGAATAAATAAATAAATTTAAATTTTAAAATTCTATTTTTTAAAAAAAAGGCGGCATCATTTACAAATAGTAAAACCCACACTGCTCAACACAGTTCTGCTGCTGCTGACAAACACCACCGGTGGCATCCTTACCACCATGGTCACTGTGCAGAATGGCTCCATCCCTACAGAAAATCCCCACACCTGACAGCCAATCCCCCCCAAACCCTTGATCGTGGGCAGTCACTGGTCTGTTTTCCTACCCCTACAGCTTAGCCTTCCCCAGAACGTGCTATCAATGGAGTCATACCACACACGACCCTCGGAGTCTTTCATTTAACCATGCGTTGCAGAGTCGTCGTTCGTGTGGCTAGATGGACCGTAGCGCGCTCCTTTGTGCTGCTGAGTGGCATTTCACTGTGTGGACATAGCCGAGCTTGCTTGTCCGCCCACTAGGCCGTGGTCCTTGAGTAGCTGCCGACTGTTGGTGATTACTTACATGTGAGGTAGTGATGATTCACGCTGCACGTGTTAGCTCGCAGCGCACATTCTGTGGTGTAGGATCTCGGTAAGAGAGCCTCTGGACAGCCTCTTCTCTGGGGCTTGGACTCTCCTTGGGAAACGCCATCCTCTAACTAGACTGACTTCCTTTGGTCAACGAATTCTCCCCTGAAGTGACTAAAATCAGTGCGTCTCCCATGGGCAATGGACTGTAACACTGCAACATGAATTTGCTCTCCAAGACCTATGTTGGAAGCATGAGCCAGTGGCTGGTCCGGACTAAGGAATGCCCCGTCACCACCACACAGCCACCTGGGGCACACGGCCCCCAGACCCCTCTGGGACTCAACCAGTCAGTGTGTGGGGCCCAGCCACCTGAGCCACCATGCCACCCATTAGCCCTCAATTTCTTTTAGATGTAAAGTAACAGACACAGAAGTAGAGTCAGTGATTCTAAACCGCAAGATAAAACATACTTTGCTCTTGCTTTCTCCCATTTTTCTTTTTTCTCATCAATAGTTTTCTTCATAACTTGGTACCACTTTCTGAAATCAAACCATGGCTTATCTGAAAGAAAGGAAATTCATGCCTATTAATCAGTAAGTCACATTATAATAATGCATAGTTCATTTGAGCCTTCATTCATTGACATAATATTCTCGGAAATGATGGATGGCCTCGCTGTCTCCATAATGATCCTCTCCAGCAATAACATAACTCCCCTCTTTAAGATGCTGTCTAGACCGTAGTCCCAACTTGATTAAACCAAAAGCATCTTTTTTTTTTTTTTGAGAGATTTTCACTGTAGGGCGCGTGCGCTCGCCAGACAGACAGAGAGAGACATAGAGACAGAAAGCGAGAAATCACCCCCCAGGGGGGATGGTCACGCCGCAATCCCTTCTCCTCCATTCTCCTCTCGGGATCTTGGGCACGCACGCACACGCGCCCGGCGTGAGTTTTAAGCCACCGGGTCCGGGACACGAACCGCGGTCGACTACATGGGAATCCAGCGACATAGCCATTACGCTAACTGCTGGTTCCCCACCAAAAACATCTTTTCAAAGTCTGTTCTTTCAGAACTCGATTATGAGCTCCTTGAGAAGAGAGGACATATTCTGTTTGTCCCTAAGCTATCAAGCTCCCTCCTCCCCATACTGGAGCATCAGCAGGGTATGGCATATAGTAGCGGTCCAGTAGGTCTGGCAAACACATGAATTAAGGAACAGATGACTAAAAAGTGTGTGAGATGGTGCCATAGGAGCTGAATCTAGATTTCTAGTTTCATCAGCTCCTATTGCTGTTCTTTCTCTCTCTAATTCAAAGGACCTACAGATAAGGAGGTGGATTGCAGCAGACAGATAGTGTGTGTGTGTTCAAGATAGTGCGACTGGAGAGACAACAGAATTAGTTGCAGTTGAGTTTTTGTAAAAATTCACTCCTCACTCTTACTCAATCCATCTGGGGATTATTCTCTGATGAAGATAGTCTCTCTTGGGACTAGCAGATGGTGTAATGGTTATGTTGCTAGACTCCTACATAGTTGACCAGGGTTTGAGTCCTGGACCCAGCAGCTTAAAACTCATGCCAGGTGTGTATGCGTGCATGCCCAAAATCCCGAGAGGAGAATGGAGGAGAAGGGATTGCAGTATGTCCATTCCCCCCACTCCACCAGGGTGATTTCTTGTTTTCTGTCTCTCTGGTGAGTGCATGCACCCTATAGCAAAAATCTCTCTCTCAAAAAAAAGATAGTCTCTCTCACTGCCTAGTTAGAATCTCTCCACTGGCCAATATAATTAACACATAGTTCAAGCAACCTTGTAGGCCGTATAGCCACGGAGAAGAGGAAACTACCAAATGGATGGTAAGAATAGAGGAAAACAAGGTTCTCTGACCTCGAGCAAGCCAAATCATCTCCAAAGTTCAATGTCTACACGGTCTTCTATACTCCTTTAGAGAGAACATTATAAGACACCCAGTTCAGTCTTCCACTCTGTGTAGACACCAACACAACCAATCTACAGGCAAGTATTTTATTTTGCACATATTCTGGAAAGAACACACCAACTAATTAATACCATTAAACTCAAGTTCCTAAAACCAAGGAATATAAAGTCCTAGTGAGAACATTAAGAAACTGAACTGAGGAGCCGGCAGGTGGTGTGGTAGCTAAGAGCTCTGGACTCCCACATGGCCGACCGTGGCTCGAGTCCCGGACCTGGTGGCTTGCTTTCTCACTTTTCCTCTCTCTCTCACTCTGTCCCTGTCTGGTCAAATTAATATAAATAAATGAGTGAGTAAATAAAATAAAGTTTCAATAAAATAATTCTTAAAAAAAAAAAAAAAAAAACTGAAGTGAGGATTCCAATATTCACCAAGCTTCATGGAGCTGTTCTTATACTAGTCACTAAATTAGACATTAAGCATATTAAAAAAAAAAAAAAGATATGGGACCAGCAGTTGGTGTAATGGCTATGTCACTGGACTCCATGTAGTTGACCATGGTTTGAATCCTGGACCCGGTGGCTTAAACTCACGCTGGATGCGTGTGCATGCGTGCCCAAGATCCCAAGAGGAGAATAGAGGAGAAGGGATTGCAGCGTGGCCATCCTCCCTGGGGGTGATTTCTCACTTTCTGTCTCTCTCTGTCTTTCTGGAGAGCGCACGTGCCCTATAGCAAAAACCTCTCCAAAAAAAAAGAAAAGAAAAAGTAAGATATGATCCTTCCTTATAAAAGCTCACAATCTACCTACCTGTCTACCACTTGCAGAGCACTAATGGTAAGCACTCCACGAAGACTGACACTAAGAGGGAAAGACAGCTGGGCCGTTAGCCAGAACCCAGTGTGGTAAACATGTAAGTCTGGACGGGAGTCACAGTTCTGATTTGGGAAGAGGTGAAGTCCGTGGGTGTGAAGAACAGGTAGGAGAGTGGAATTTACGCTGTCTCTTGAAGAATGAAGAGGGATTTGACGGGGTCTCAACGGGAGTCAGGAGTAAGAAGGAAAAAACATTTCAGATGGGAGAACAGCAAGAACCAAGGCTGAAGGTATGAGACTCGACAGGACAGTCTCAGAGTGGCCGGTAGGTTCGCCATGGTCTAGAGGGGCTAGTGTGCAGAAGGTGGGAACAAAAAGCACTCTGGTTTAGAGACACAGCCGGCAGTCACTAAGGTGTCTTTATTAGTCTAGAAATATAAATGGATAATTACATGAGAAAATAACACTGGTAAAAGGTATCATTTGTGTACATGCATATTTTTCAAGTTTTCCCCTTACATTTATTTTATCTTTTAATCCATCATTTATAATCATTTTGAATTTGACTGATAAAAAATTAAGTACCTTCTTTGTTCTCTTCATTATATTTTTCAGCAAGATTTGACAAAGACCTGACAATAATAAAAACAAGTTGATTTGTTTTTAGAAATCATGCATTTGGGCAGTTAAATTTTAAATTCTTCAGAGAGGAAAATATAGAACAGTACTTGAAAATGGTGCCAAAATTTAATGGAGAAGCAGTGGCTGAGAAAGAGAAGACACTAAAACATTGTTATTCCTTGCTGGCATTTGGGAGAGTTGACACTTGAAGATTCCTTTACTTTCTAAAATAATCTCTTGGAGCTACGTGGTGCCAGGGGCCCAGAGGCATGTAGCAAAAGCACTAGATGGTTCTTCAGGATTTATGATGTTACAGTAAAACTCAGGAATCGGCGAGTGGCGCAATGAATGGATAACAGGAGTAGAACATGATCAAACGGCTGAGTCAGGGAGTTATGGAGGAGCGTTACCATTAGTCAGTGTTCTGGAACAACAGGGCCGCCATTTTCTATTGAGGTAACATATAAATTTCTTTACTTCAAATAATTAGGGAAAAACAATACAATATTTTTCCTTAAAAAAAAAAAAAACTGGTAACAGCATAATAAAGTGGTATTTGTCACAAAATATACACTCACCATTCGAAGTTGTCATCCAACAGAAAGAGCACTTTCAATACCACTACGATGACGGCCACGGCTTGTACATCGTATTTAACTGTCTTTGCTGTTCTAGCTATCGGGTCAAATGTCAGGAAATCCACGTCTCCGACTCCAGTCAGCTTCACCACTTGGCAGGTGAAACTGTGCATTTCATCTGTTGAAGAACAAAAAGTAAAATGTGAATTAAACTGTGGCGAACTGTACCACAGAATGTGTATGCCCTCACCTGAAAATATGAGGCTATGCTACAGCCTGAAGACACACATTTTGTGAATAAAATAAATGAAAAAATTATGTCTGTACAGAAAACAAACGGTAGACTCTTGGCAAGGCTTAACTCTTCCTATCTGAATTCCTAAACACGGCCCGTTTGTGGGATGCGCCTTGGTGTCCCGCAGCCAGCCGCAGGCAGGGCTCCCGACCCCCTGTC